AATTAAGTTAATAAACATTCACGACCCTAAAAACCCTTATCAAAGCACCTTGGTTTAAGTGTGCTATAAAATAAAGTTGATATTGATAATTGAAAGCAATGCGTTAAATTGCCTGGTTTTGAAAAATTAATTACTCAGGCGGCAGAAAGCCATCTTAAAGGGGCTTTCTAAAAATGGCGTATATTGTAAACGTCACCAGTAAAACTTGGGGAAATAACGTACAAATACCTATCTTTTGCTTAACTGCAGTTTTTATAGAACACTGAACACCGTAAATCAAATTAACATGGCAGACATGTGTTATTGTGTTAAAATAATTTGAGAGCGAAAGTAGGTCAGGGCTGCTTTTCAGAAACACAAACAACGTTCGTGTTTTCATGACGTCACGCTACTGGCAAATGTAGTTGTCTAAATTTACTCGTGAATGAATATTTCAAAAAGTCACGTTCACAACTCAACCAACTTCCAAAGATTATTTTTTCGTAATTACAACCAAGTATTTTGTTATGTCATTGTGTGGCGTCTTGGTTGCTTTCAGGGTTAAAAGTAATGTTTACAGATGAACACTGGACTACAAATCCCAGACTGCACAAGGCGCTATTGCCTGTGTAGAGGGGAGAGGGGACTCCTTTAAGCAACATTCTTCTTTACCCAGTCTTCTGTTAGGGCGATATCAACTACATTTCTGGTTATTACCGTTAGAGTTTTAGTTTGCTAGAATTTTAGATTAATAGTTGTGTTTTATTTTCTAACCTGGCTCTCGCAGGAAGTTATAAACTATTCGCTCCACGGTAAACTCGTCTTCTGCTGGTCGCTAAGGTAGAGCTTGTTAGCTAGCTTACATTAGCCAGCAGCTATCAGTAGATTTAGGTTACGGCTTATATCCGTGGCCGCCCTGCCAGGTAAATCTACTAAAGCTGAAGGCGCCGGTCACCGACAATGATTTGTCCAATTCACCCATGTCTGAGTGTTGACGTTGGTAAATAATTAATCTGACTTGGGAACGAATCGTCGCAACCTTTGTTTGGTTTGTGCGCAGCCTGGCTGGTTTGGCCTGTTTCATTGTCTCCGAACATCGAAAACACACAAGTTGTTTTTTTTCAGTGTCAGTAAGTTGTTTGGCTACTTAGGCTAGCCGTGTTCGTGTAAACAAAACCATCAGCTGTCGACTGCAGATAACGTTAATCTTGAGAGCTAACCTAGTTCAGTATGGCGCAACACGACTCATCTCATGTAGCCAGTTCACAGAAAGCACTCATGTTGGAAATGAAGAGCCTTCAGGAGCAGCCTGTCGAGGGATTCAAAATAACGCTGGTGGACGAGGCTGATATGTACAACTGGGAAGTGGCCATTTTCGGACCGCCAAACACTCATTATGAGGGGGGGTATTTTAAGGTAAGAATAGATAACAACTTTATTGTCCACAAAGGTGAAAAAAATGTATCTGGCAGTTCATTCAAACACGCATAACGGCACTGACGGTATGAATTCTTCAACTGATAAAAAAGAAAAAAAGAAAACATACACTATAAGAATTGAGCAAGCCAGTTGCCCTTGGGATAAATTGCTTTTTAAATGTTATTTGTAACAAAATCCATCCTACCTACAAGAGTTTAGATGTGTAGCTTTCTCTGTGATATGCACAGACAGAGCCCCCACCTGGCTCTATTGTCCTGTGATTAATTTGATGGCCATTGACAATCCTAAGTTGCCAGCTTGCTTCTGAATTTACCGATCTGGTTGCCATACCGTACAGTGATATTGTGTGAACACATTAAATGAGATACTTGTAAAGCTTTCAGGGTCACTAAAGCTGTTAAGTTTTTTTTGAGAATGTAGAAACCATGCATGTTTTCTTAAAAAACATAATCAAGATGTGAAACATAGTTTACTGCACTACTGGCATGACCGCACCATATGAAATCAGTAAAAGTCTTATTGTAGTAATACAGAGCACAGACGCATGTAAAAACCATGGTAAAGACCTGTTTTGTATCCCCAGGCTCGCATCAAGTTCCCTATTGACTACCCATACTCCCCACCTGCCTTCCGATTCCTCACTAAGATGTGGCATCCAAACATCTATGAGGTAAAGTATCATACCGTGACTCTATTTTATAATATTAAATATATGCCTTTGTAACCTTTATCACTATATTTAATTTAATTCAAATTGGTTATATGGTGGATGTCACATTGAAAGGAGTTGATTCCCTCTGTTTTTAGAATGGAGATGTGTGTATTTCCATACTGCACCCTCCGGTGGACGACCCGCAGAGTGGAGAGCTGCCTTCAGAGAGATGGAATCCCACCCAGAATGTCCGGTTAGCATCTCCCTCATTATCTCTCCGCGTATGTGTGTCTCCTTTCTGGGCACCTGCTGTCTTTGTCTTCTCTCAGTCCCTTCGAGACCTGTCTCACACTGAGAACATGACATCTGTCCTCAGTGGAGTCTCCTTCAGAAGTCCCAAAAAAAAGAATACTGAATTCATATCTGGGTATTCAGACCCACATGCGTAATTTGATCTGTTTTTGTCCGGTGCTGTCATCAGGCAGCTCCCTTTTGTATGTGGGTTTGTTGTGCAATAATTGTGTGGGCGTGACAGTTCAGTGTAAAAAGTGAAATATTTCACAAGTGCTTTATTGGATTTGTATCAAGTTCTTCCAAATAATGTATTAAGCAATAATTTGTTAAGGGCCAATACATTAGGAAACCCTCCATCACTTCTAAAAAATAAAAGCGGCACGTGTACTGAACCCACTTAATATTCAGTCACAAACAAAATGAGATTATGTTGGATTCTTATATCAAGCATACATAAACAATAGGATACGTTTACATTGCTATATGACCAAAGTGACCAAGGCTTTGTTTTGCTGTTGTTGTTGTTTTTTATGAATAAGTGTACAAACGTGGGAATTAAATTGGTTAAATTTTAATAGTATTTATGTGAATGAAGCACACAGGCAATAATGATGTCTTGTTGACTTGCCTAGGATTAATTGCACAGATATAACTACTGGCTGCGTGCCGTGTAGGTGGTCCAGGTTAGAGATGCAGGGCTCTGCTATTATGCATTTTTAATTTATGTCATTAATATCACCTGTGCTTTTTCTGCTTTTACAAGTCAAAATGTCTGTTGTGGAAAAATTGTCATTTGCATTGCACTTACACTGCATTACACTGGAATCCTGCACAGTCCAGTACACCACCACAACTAACTACAACCTCAGGTATAAACACTTAACACTTAAATTAACACTTCTCTGAAAGTTTTAACTGGCCATTATAAGCTTTGCAAAGGTGGAATATGTGGGAGAGCTGTTGTACTGGATTGTATTGGACTGTATAGGCCATGGATGGTTCTGGTTCTTCTCAACTGGGAATATGTGCTGGTTTTCTTGGTCTTTTATGGTTGTAAGCTTTGGACTGTTGGTTGGGCAGAACAAAACATTTAAATGGGCGAGTTCGGGGGCCAGGGCAATTTTGACAGTCACTTTTCACAATTTATTTTTATTAATTAATAAATAACCAATAAATAAAATAAACTAAATGTTGACCAAATAATCGCCGGATAAATTGAAAAGGAAATGAATCCTTAGTTACAGCCCTGATTCACATAGCTCCATTTAGCACCCGTAAAATGCAGAATGTAAGAAAACTGATATGAGAGAGAGAGGGTAGATTAAATATTCCTCATTTGTTTATTAAATAATAACAGGTTTATATCCTGTTTAAACTGGCCACACCACGTATTTATGGAGTATGTTAGGGTTAACACTTGCCACTTACCTTTGCTTTTGCTTCCAGGACCATTTTGCTTAGTGTGATCTCGCTGCTGAATGAACCAAACACCTTCTCTCCTGCTAATGTGGATGCCTCTGTCATGTACCGCAAATGGAGGGACAGTAAGGGCAAGGACCGGGAGTACGTAGAGATCATCAGGTAAACGGTCGCACTTCGATATTGTCCCTATCCAAAACTTTTCTAACAAGCGTAGAAGAACCTCTTTTTCAAGAGTCAGTCTCGACTCATGATGTGTTCTTTTTTAAATCTCTCTCCCACAGGAAACAGGTATTGGCCACCAAGGCGGAAGCTGAGCGCGACGGAGTGAAGGTGCCCACCACACTGGCCGAGTACTGCGTGCGTACGCGCGCCCCGGCCCCCGACGAAGGCTCCGACCTCTTCTACGACTATTACTATGACGACGACGATGTGGAGGACGGCGACGGCGACTGCTGCTACGATGAGGATGACTCAGGAAACGAGGAGTCGTGACGTGCTTTTTGACAGGACAACCCGATCTCGCTGACGTGTGCTACCTGCTATTTCTGTCTGGGAGGCCAGAAATTCTTGGTCGACCACCAAGAAAGATTTGAAGCTTCCCACTCCTAAACCAATGAAAAGAGCTGTTTGTTTTTTTTCCTGAGCCTCTAGATCCTTTTTGGAGGTGAAAATGAATGCACCATTGTGGAACGGTCAGACCTGGTAAGATTTGCACCAGCACAAAATCACCAGTTTCTTCAATTTTGCAAATCGTTTTCTTTATCACCTAAAACCTTACTTTGAGAGAATACCTTCCATCACTTAATCCTGTTGAGTTGTTCAGGCCCCTGTATAGTCTATGGTATTGTGGGGTTAATACCACTGTCAACAATAGCAACATTTGGTGCAAACACTTCCAAACTTTGCTCAGCCTCTCTTGCATATCTTTCTTTCCCTAATTGTAACTGGGTGTTGCTCACCAGTCGTCGGTCTCAGTGACTGGCTGACAGAAGATTGAGGACTTCAAGCAGCTTGTTTTTGTTGAACAGTCTACTGCAAATACGTTTGAATAAGATTTTTCCAAGTTTCACAGTCTGTCTCACTTCGACTGAACGGGATGTCACGGGACAATGTTTTCAAAGTTCTTGTGCATGCCAGAACATCATTGGAAGCTTTTTGTCCGTTTTACTTGTGGACTTACATCATGATCCATTTATATGCTTGATGATAAGAAAGACTTGCGATGATGGAGATCCCAGGCAACTTTGTGTCTGGAGGGACCGTCTGGCGAGCTGAGTGAGTGGGTCAAATCCTCATGTGATTTTTGGTAACATGAAATTGAAATCTTTGCTGTGTTTCTTCTGGTTACTGTTGGATGTGTTTCTCTGTCATTTTGAGTGTGGGATTATGTTATTTGAAGTAGCTGAGATTTAAGAGTCTTGTAGGATGACCAAGTTTTCAGGGTTGGGGTTGGGGGGGGGGGGGGGGGGCAGAACTAATTACTGATCAGAATTGTATCTCTCCCTCAGGTTTGCTCTCTGAGAGGCCTGACGGAGCCACAGACCTAAAACAGTGTAAACTTAAAAAAAAAAAAAAGAAAAAGAAAAAAGCCCAAAACATTTTATGAGCGTTTGTTGTATTCTTGTCTTTGTTTGCTCTCTCACAAGCTTTGTTATTTTTAGACATTATGCCTGCAATCTTTGCTTGAGAATGATTTATGTGATGAGATTATTAGATTTTACTGGCAAAAAAAGCTTCTGTAGGAAAAGTGTCTGTCAAAAGGTGTTGTTGCAGTATCAGTCAGGATTATCAAAGTGTTTCAGCCCTGGAAGTCCCTGGAAGTGAAAGAATAAGGCCGCCATGTTTTATTTTTCATTTCAGTTCTTTGTGTCAGCGGCGAGTGGACGGGTTTTGATATAATTTTTAGAGTGCATGGTGTCCTGTGTGTGTTTTTTGCATCAGCAATATTGATTGTTTCATTTACTGAAATTGGGACTTCATACTGAATTTCTCAGGATAATGAACAAAACAATTAAGACAAGCAACTACTTTCCTCTTTTAGGTGGTCTTCAGAGTTGGTTTATGCTTTTACAGGAACCATAACTGATATGCACATGTAGCTGTGTGAATGATCACCATATTGTTTTATTCACTTGTGTTTACTTTTTGTTTTCGGCTATTTAAAACTGAAAAATAAAGATTTATTGGAAAAAAAATATGCCCGGACTTGAATTGCTTGGAGTCATGAAGTGAAGTCATGACCAAAGTGTGTTGTTTGTTGTTGCTGTAGGTCAGAATCAAAATTAAGGTTGATAGTAGTTACGCAGGACTACTTAGTCTTTAAACAGCGGGGGGGTTGCTGGTTTTTCTTACATTCAAATATTACAGCATGTCCCAATAAAACCTGCATGTCCCTTTTTTTTAAAGAACACTGTTTAAACACGCCATTGTCTGTTGTCTTAAGACATACCAAGTACAAGAGAGCTATTCTCTGCTCATAGCCAACTAAAATGGCCTATCAAAGCATTTCAGATACAAAGCCAACGACAACAGGTTTTTTAAAGTGATATCTGGGTGTTTTCTTGTGTCTCTTTCTAACCCTTTTTGGTCTTGATTAGGGATCCAAGCAGGATGCTCATTTTAATCTCTGGATTCATCTGCATCATTGCTTCAATGATCTGCTCTAAAAATTTCAAATTCTGGGACTTTTTGTAACCTATTTTTGCGAACTCGTCCTAGACGGGGTTTTTTTTTTTTTCATAAATTTTCACGTTTGTCTTTTTGTACAATTTTACATAAATGCTCGTAAATCAAAATTGGCTTAAGCTATTGTAACCAAACTTGAAGTGTCTGTTAAGATGCTCGGTCCGAGCTTTGCTGAGCAGTCCTGGGATATTCGGTTCGATATTCAAAATTCGGTTCGTACGATCTAGGGTCACTACTCAGTTGATGCATGAATTTGGTAATGATTGCTCAAAGTGTGTGTGGCTTATTACAACAAATTTAAATTTCAAGACATTTCTCATTTCACACTTCAAAAAATCTAAGAAAAACACCTGTGCCTCCTAGAGAGCTGAAATTCTTTCAGCACATCCACTGATATGTGACAAACCTTTGCCTCAATGCAATCTACGGTAAATTCAGAAGTCTATTACTCTGTATTTTTCAGAATATGCAAATTCAATTAACATGTATATCTCCACAAGTCTTTCTTCAAACGCTACCAAAATTAACATAGACATTCTCTAGATGGCAGACATTGAGTGTTTCAAAGGGTTTTTAAATCGGTCAAACGGTGAGTCTGCAGTGATATTCAGTATCTTGCTAGTACATTTTCTTTTTTGCCCAGTGTTGAATCAAATGCAACCAAAATAGTTAACACACTCAAAACCAGCAGAATGACGTGTGATTTTTGTCAGAATTTTCTCACCTGTATTTTGACTTCGTAAGTGTTTTAAGTTTAGCCTGACAAAACTATCCAGGTCTGGCACATGTGACGTCCCTACCTCAACTTGTGAGAAGGTGTATGGAAAGATCCTCTCACCAGTTGCTCAGTCAGTAAGTCTCCTACCATGGGGTTCAAATCCCCACATGACCAAGTCAGATTTCCTAACAATGGGGCTGTTCAGATCATAGAGAGTCTAAGGGGTCTATTTTATTTGGATCCCTAGCACTTTAAAACTTGGAAACACAAAATGTTGCAGGTGGGTTGAACATTTCACCCAGTAGTCAGGTACATATGACACACACTGATCTTAAGGTGATTCTGTAAAAATCAAGTTTGCGTTTCCACAATTATCTCAAAGTCCAAATTCCTTCATCACTTTAATCTTTCAAGTTTAAAGCATCTGTTCTTCTCCTCTGAAAATGTCAAATGTTGCACTTGGATCCCAATCATTGCCGCTTGCAGCTATATTTTGTTGTTATTATTTGTAATCTTGAAGACGTGGGGTACTTATGTTCTATGAGTCAAGGAAAGAAATACCCTCCTAGAGATAAAAGATGGTCACTGTACTTCTACTCCATCCTAACCCATCATTGTCTGGTTTGTTTTTAGAGCCCTCAGTCTTTCTCGTTTAGCCTTGTATTCTGACATGTCAGACCTTGCCTTGAACGAAACGATTGATGAGCTGGTGGTGAACAGCTATTGCTCAAACTCGTGGTCGTTCAATTCGTTCCGTGCCGCTCACTATGTTGCACTGCCTAAGCGTCACCCTTGACCAGATAGCTAGATATATCTGGCGTCTGAACTGCAGCAGCTGTCACCAGTCTCTGGTCTCACACTCCAGCCACTGGATTCTGTTATTGATCTCCAGTGTCCAAGCTGGCCTCCTGCCCGCCCGGCCTCTAGAGGTTCTCTGTCCTTGTGGCAAGCCGACAGAATGGATTTGGTATTAAATGTTCAAATCCCCATTTTGACAACCTGTTTTGAGTTTATTAATTAATGTAGGCTATTATTGGGCAAGGTTTCACTGTCATTATGATTATTTCCTTTCCCATGTCCTATATACATAAGGGGGATAACAGTTAGCCTAATATTTTTCTTTTTTCCCTTCTGCAATTGTCCCTATAGTTAGGCTCCCTGTCAGAAAGGGTGCAGAGTGGAAACAGGTTTAGGGTTAGTGTTCAGGGGCGGGAAAATGGAGGCAATGCTCTCAGGCTGATGGCCAGACTGGGGTAGAGACCAGAATTGAATGGCCTGTGGCTGGAACAGAGCTGAAACAGGAGCAGAACAGGATTCCTCAGGCTGATGGCCTGAAGACAGGACAGAGGAGGAGCTGGAGACCTCAGGCAGAGAAGCTAGCTGCAATTCAGCAAAGTCAGGAGGTTCTTTCGGGGGATACCTGGGGTGATTGCAATCTGCATTATGTGACAGAAGCAAGAGGACGCTGCAGTGGAGCAGGTTCAGGGTTTTGCTGGAGCTCCGTAGTGACAGGCAGCTGCTGTTATTCTGGTAAGAAGCATTGCTGCAGCACGGAGGCACAGTCAATAGTAGTTCAGCGGGTACAGAACTTAACTGGAACTCAGCAGGGTCAGGTAGCAGCTGTAGTTTTGGGAATGGGAAATGCTGCAGTTCTGGCACAGAGATCTCCTGTAGTAGAGGAGTCAAAGTCAAATGCAGCTCAGCAGGCACAGGATGGGGCAGCTGCTCAACAAAGTCTGAGAGCTGCCGTGGCTTGGCAGTGGGGACAGTAAATTGCAACAGCTTAGCAGTGGCAGGATGGATGAACTGCCGACTGGACACAAGGTGCAGGAGTCAGCTGGGCCAACTACTGGAAATCAGGCAGGAATTGGGGATACCTCCGTGGTACTGGACAATATTGTCTCTTGGATGCTAGCCAGCATACTCTCAGGGGTGCCAATCAGTTGAATTTCTGGTGAGCTGAATAGCAAAGTCACTGGGGAACTGTTCAGCTGAGTCTATGAGATGCAATCCAGCTGAATCTCTAGTGAGCAGGGTAGCAATGTCTCTGAAAAACGCGTTAGTTTAGACTCTGAGATACCAGGCAACAAAGTCTCTGAGAAACTAGACAGCTGAAACTCAGTGAACATTTATTCTCCGGGTAAGAACCGGCTAACAAAATCTCTAATGCTGGGCAGCTTCATTTCTGCGACACCAGGCAGCAAGACCTCTGCAGCACTGGACGGTGGCAAGGATGAAGAGCTGGGCACCAATGAGGATGTGGAGATGGGCAGCAAAGACTGAGAGGTTGAGGCTGCCAATGTCTCCTCTTGATACATCAGACTGGTCATGGAGACTGGTGGCTAGCAGGATGGAAATCAGCCTTGTGGCTAGCAGGCCATGATGAAGCTTGCTAGGCCAGAGATTAGGCTTGCAGCTGCAAGCTAGCTGATTGTTAGCAGGCGAGGGGCTAACAGGCATGCAGGTAAAAAATTGCAGGCTGAGGAGCTGAGATGTGGACGAAACTAATTATCCATTCAGAGTTTTTTGGCCAAGGCTTCCAGGATATTTCCTTCTGAGCTATAGACAAGATAGCCTCCTTATGGCTATAGCTAAGTCCACACAAAGTTCAAACAATTCACCCGACCTCATGTTCACTGGCTTTATAATGGCTAGTTTGTACTGTCAAGAAGGGTGCCGAGTGCACTGCAAGGGCAGGGGAAAAAAGTTCGGGACCCAATCGCAGATGAGTTTATATATTTATGGATAAGGAAACATTAAAGAGTACAAACTTATGGAGTAAGTGTCTAAACAAAAAGAGTAGGCTACTGACTCTGAATACTGACACACTACAGACACAAACAAGCAGGCAGGTTAATTAAACAGAAGGTAGGACACATTAGAAATCAGGGCAAAAACACCAAGACCAGAGACAGAAGATCACCAAAATAGAACAGGAAGCAGACAGACACAGAGACTAATTACGCCCACATTTGAGAATGTTTGTTGTCTTTCTTGTTATTTAAATCTAAAATTGAGACTTTCCATAATTTCTGGATAATTATCTCTTTGTTGAATATTGTTAACAACCGCATTCCTTTAGTCTTTCATGTGTTATCTGTTAATAAACAGCATGAGCTGTGATTTGTCCATTTTTAACTGGGAGACCACCCCCCACACAAGTAGGAGGACAGATGGAGGGTTTCTTGGCACGATTTTAGGGGCACTTGCTAAAATAATGTATTTAATTATGACATTATATTGTCAAATAAACACTCATTTTGCTGCACAAAAAAATGGTTATATCTGAAAAATAATATCAAGTGAGAACAGCAAAAAATAAGTTTATGAGCATTCAAGGGCACGTGTGCTCCAAGCTCTGATTAACTTCTGACCCGGCCTCTGTCAGGCTGCTGCTGCACTTTCTTTGTCTGCTGTTGTTTTCCTTTATAGGAGAAAGTGTAAGAGAGACCCGCATCCACCTGAACCCGCTTCTGTATGGCTACATTATAGTTGGACTGCCGGATTATTATAGCAAATAAACCCAATCCTCTCCCTATTCGCCTACAGATCGCCTACTATCAGTCCGGTTTATTTAAATAATTTGATTAAAAACACCCCTGCAATGGACCGGCGACCTGTCCAGGGTGTACCCTGCCTTTCGCCCGATGTCTGCTGGGATTGGCTCCAGCCCCCCGTGACTCTGTACGCAGGATAAGCGGTTGACGATGGATGGATGGATTAAAAACACACAAATACAGTTTTTTGACTGATTAGTAGATAAAATGAGTGAATTTGGGGCAAGTCTTTCCTCATGAGTTCAGGTAATGGAGTGAAGGTAAGAAAGGGGATGAAGGAACGTTTCAGTAACTAGTTAAAGACATTTATATTGCTGGACTTAGGTAAAAGTATGTAAGTATAATGACGAAAATGTAGCCTACATAAATTGTTAAAAGTAAAAGTAGGCCTAGTCAAAGCAGAAAAATGTCCCCTGTGACTATACATATTATATCATGAGATTATTATTACTCATGCATTAATGTAAAAGCAGGATTTTACTGTTGGTTGATCGGACTGCAACTAATAATAATTTACATTGTAGATTCAGCTTTTGATTAGTTTCTCCATTAATCGACTGCAGTGAAGGAAAAGCAGCAAATATTCTCATTTGTGAAGCTAGAACCATAAAATGTCGCATGAAAAATTACTTAAAAGATCAAAGTAGTTGCCAATAAATTTTCTGTGAACCAACTAATCGTTTCAGTTGTAGTATAAAACACATTTTTTAAACTCTTCATATGTTTTGTGTGTAAAAAAGCTTTGTTTGTAAAGGTGTAAAGTACAGGTTCCTCAAATTTGTGTTTGCTGTCCACCACTGCTTTCCCACTTGCTCTAAACGCACCATATGTTGTCGCTAAGTGATGACGTCACCCAAACAACACAATACGTCAGGAACCCGCCTGGGAGATCACCCACTTTATGATACAGGAGCAGTTTTCTAAACAAAAATAATAAATATACGATACCAACAACAGCCATGTCTGTGGATTATGCTGCTGGGCTCTCGCCGTACGCAGATAAAGGTGTTTGCGGACTTCCAGAGGTAAAAGATACCGTGAGCTAGATACTTAGCTTCTAAACTGCTAACATGTTAACTTAGCCGAGAAAGCCCAGGTTCATGTTCGGTCTTTAAGATGTTGGGGTGGAGAAAGTACTTGAAATATTTAAATAGAAATACCTCAATTAAAATTACCCGCGTTCCATGTTTTATTGTGGAAAAAATGCGGAATTGGTAGCTAACAATAGAAAGTTGTGAAGAAACAGAATGATTTAGAATGACTCCATTCCCGAGGTTTGCATTAGTTTTACATAGTTAGCTAATGTGTAACGTTAAGGAGTTTGTTTTATTGTCGTGGTTGGTCTAGGTGGCGCACTGTCTAACTACAGTGTAAATAGTTGGATAATTTAGACTCAAGCAGTGCGTCATCTTTATTAATGCCTTTAGTGGAAATTCAAATGCATTTGTGTTGAAGTGAAAAACATTTATATGTAAGACTTGCATTCATAATTAGATTACAATTAGAGACATTACCTCCAGAAATCACATAAAGGAGTAAAGGGCCAATAGCTACAACAATTTACTCTGAAATGTAGAGGAGCACAAGTATTCAGATGCATAAAATGGATTAAGTGTACGGTACATTGATGGGAGTGAATATATTTAATTACTCTCCACCTCTGTTGAGATGTGATAAACAGTCTCTGTTAAAGCTTTACTATAGACAGAATACAATTCTGTTCCCAAAGCTGTTACATGTTTAGCAAAAGCTCTGCTCAATTACAATATACACATGTAACATTTAAAAACAACCAGGGTATAGAAGACAAGAGATGCAGACACTCATACAGTTAAATCAAACCTTTCGGCAGACAAGCTGGTTTCATCAGGGTTTTTAATTAGATTTTATTGTCTTTGACACTGTCCATATGCATGATGGATTTTTTTTAATTATATCATTTGTAAGTAATACACTTTTGCTACATGTTTGCTTACAGCAAAGGACAGTACATTAAAACTGAAACACAAGATGATATAACAATTTATGAGCCGGGCCAGTGGCCTCAGGTTGCATGCTCCAGACTTCTGAAGGAAGTTGAACGCCAGTGTCACTAGGCCCCAGGGTGCTTATAGCGTGAGCTAACCACCAGGCCCCCCAGACTGCTCCCATGCCCCTTGGTGCTTAAAATGTTAGCTGATTCCTCAGGCCCCTGGACACCTCAGCGCATGTAGTGTGTGTCTCAAGACCCTTTGGCTTTAAAAGAGTGAGCTGGCCACTAGGGCCCCTCGACACCAACTGTGCCGTCCCCTTTGCTACACCAAATAGCAGTTGCTATGTTTCAGAAATATTGTGTTATTTGATTGTTCCACTATCCAACAGCTGTTGACTTGATGTTTTCTACTCTGTGGCAGGTTTTTGATAGTCCTGAGGAGCTGAAGGTGAAGGTGGAGACCCTCGCTCAGTTAATAAAAGAATCTCAGTACTTGGTTATCCACTCTGGAGCAGGAATCAGCACCTCAGTAGGCATCCCTGATTTCAGGTGAGGTACAAACAAAGTCACTATACTGCTCAAACTCACAGACAGTGCTTTTCTCTCTCAACCATGCACATGAACACAATGAACACAGCAACACTGACCTCAAATTTCAGCATGGAGTTTACCTACTCTGTCCCATGCAAAAATAAAGATAATGATATCAAGCATACATATACTGATGGAAACAAATTTATCAATATATTTACACCTGAGGACCATAATAACATAAAATCATTATAACAAAGTGTAACAATCACAAAACAAACGCATAATATCTGTGAACATGAACAGCTGTCACCTGCAGTTTTTTTGTTACCCGGTTTCAACATCTCACAGCACACCACTGCTGCTCAACACAGTTTGAGATTAGAGCTAATGAGCAGTTATTGGAAGGTATCCCATTCTGAAAGGTTGACAATCACCTCTCCTGATCACATGAGAATTGTAGATTATAGGTGCTATTGTGGAGATATTCCTATTGTAAAATGCTGAGTTTGGAGGAACAAACATTTGATCAGAAATTGGAAGGAGGAGAGACGGAAAGGACTCTAAATGTGTTTATTGCCATTTCAGATTTTTAGCAGCCTTGAAAAGAAGGATCATCATAATAAAATAAAATAATATTATTATTTATAGATGTTTTTTCCTGTTTTCAATTTCTGAAAAGTTAAGGTCTACCTCTTTAGGACTAATCTGCTTTTCCTAGCTGTTCTAGACACCTTGCTCTTCAGTGGTCACATGAATGTTTTCATCTGTCATTACACTGGCTCCTACTTTTATGATTAGATAATAAAAATTAAAAAAAGGTTTTCGTAGCTAAGACATACTGTATATGCATTGACATAGTATGCCGCTTCAAATTCCTTATTCTTTAAAATACTTCATTCAACTCTGTTTTTAACAAAATACCATGTTATTCTCTTGGCACGTTGATTGTAAGGTACTCTGCTTACATTACAAGTAGCGCTGCAGAAAGTTCGTATTTTTATTGTCATTTTGAGCAACCCATTGTCATAAGACGTGTCTTGTCTTGAGAGCTCATATCTTCCCAAAGCAGTTAACTTAATGTTGAATCAAGACTAAACCGAAATATGTAGTTTATAAATGTTGAATGAATATGAAAAGAAAACATTGTATAATATAGCAATAAGAGAGACAGAGCTGTTGCTTGTGGGAGTCTTGAACAGATTGTACTTTGTCACATCCTCCTTTTTTTTAAATTTTTTTATGTCTGGTAGACAAAACATGGAGTTTTTGGCTCAGCCTCCTTGTTTCTCTTGTAGTCCCGCTGCATGACGGATGGGGGCGGTACTTGCTTATTATTTGTCAGATCCAGCTCTTTGTAAACACTGAAAATAAATCCCGGCTGATTTTGTTATCTTCCATTATAGTGTCAGAATTATGCCCTAATAGTTGAGGTGTTGCACATAAGACAGAGGCCTTTTTGTTACTCAGGAAGACATTGAGTTCATTCTGGTGTGAATGACAGACATTCCTTTGTGTGAATTCATATATACGTGCCTGGTGATGTTAATATGGAAATTTAACATTTGATTGGTCTGCTTGTCACTCATGTATTATTCGACCTTGGACGGCAACACCATTAAAGCCAAGGTTCCTATAAATACATAAGGCCCACTATCTCAAATTGTATTCCCACTGCTCCCACAAGGACACAAACACACACACACACACACACACACACACACACACATGCTCGTGCTTTAGCTGAGAGTAAGTAATGATTGCTATTATTGACGACACCAAAAGATGTGAATACGCCAGCTTTATAGATCCTCCGTGGCTTTCATCTACTGCAGCATCTTTGTCATGGTGATAAGCATGAAATAAGTGACATACATGCATCTCCGCAAATGGTGGTACATCTTTGAACTTGTCTTGGGCGAGAAGGCAATGAATCACATTGATGTAGTTCAAATAGAAAGCGGGAGATGAGACTGTTGTGCCTGCATTTGAGGATGCGTTCCCTCATCTGATGCAAGACAAGTTGCGTGTCCTCGAAGTAACTTGGCAACTGTCAGGGTGTTAGACGGCAGCAGTACTGACAGCAGCGCTGTGTTCATCCCTCAGTCCTTATTCAGACACCCAAAATTGACTGGTTTATTAAAGAAGCATGAACAGAATGATCTCACATTGGACTACACATTTTGTACATTTTAGTCTGAAAACGTGTCACTGTATGCTGTTAGAGATATTTCTGTCATATTAGACTATTGATGCTTCTGTTTTCTCTCATCATCCAGCAGTGGAAGAATCATTTCAATGCAATGCAATGTTTTTCAGTGGTTTTCCATATTTCCAGTGGGCTTGCAACATTTCACAGCATGTTGTCAATTTGGTACACAAACTTGGCAGAACTTCTTTGCAGAAATCCTCCCATCAGATTGCTAATACTCATCCATGAATACAAACCCACGCACCAGTTTTAGACACCTAATGCCTCCAGGCCACCCACTGCATTGCAATCTGTCCAATCCTATACATGCGATCAGCCTATTCATTGCTATATTCTCTGTTTCAGGGGTCCAAAGGGTGTGTGGACATTGGAAGAAAAGGGCGAGTCCCCTCACTTTGACACCACATTTGAAGATGCCCGACCCAGCTTGACTCACATGGCCCTCCTGGGACTGCAGAGGGCCGGGCGCCTCAAGTATCTCATCAGCCAGAATGTGGATGGCCTACATGTCCGATCAGGCTTCCCCAGGTAACTCTGCGCTGCCTGCAGTCCTGAAGCGTGATATACACACATGAAGCATTTTACACACTCTGTAGCTAACTCAAATCATGGTTGTTATTGTGCGTGGAGCAATGCTTTATATCACAGATAAGCCACATTATGTTTACTAGTAATAATAATAATAATAATACATTTTATTTATAGGCGCCTTTCTGAACACTCAAGGTCACCTCACAAAACATAATAAAACAGTACAGCAATAAATTACTAAAAATTAACAACTATAATTACAGTGCATAAAATCAGGGTACATAACAAAGATTGAGAAAGAATGATCACGTGGGATATGCCAGTTTAAAAAGATGTGTTTTCAGGCAGGATTTATACCAGTTATAATGACTGGTGTCTGTCTGTGAGGAAGTCCAATATCCAGTTGCAGAGTGCTGTATTTAAACCCAGGGATCTGGTTTTGTAAGTATGTCCACTAATGTGCTTTTTTTTGCCACGGACAGGCTCAGATTTTTATTATAAGTGTCTGACAACATTATGGAAAGGATCCCTACAGAGATAGACCTTTCCGTCAAAGCCACCAGACTCCCTTGAATTTTTTTTATCCCTCTGGTCTACCAGCAACTTTGTGTTTTGCAAGGTAAAATTACAGTTTTTATCAATGGAGTCTGGTGGCTTTGACAAGAGCGATATAGGGACTGTTTCTGGTTGAATAAAAAGGATCTTACTCTTTAAAAAAGGTCTGTCCTTGTAGGGATCCTTTCCACAACGTTGTCAGACTCTTGTAAGAACAATCCAAAACAAGCACTAAATTGGGCGTACTTTGACGGGCCACAATTGCCCACTAGGATAATGTTGTGGGCCTGTCTCATCTGCACCGCACTTTCTCAATACTGGACATATTTCAAAACAGGTTGTCCCAGTTAGTCACATAGAAAGAAAAAATGAAGTTGAAAAATACCGACGTTACCTGTTAGTTTCACCAAAACAAGGAGCTGAGAGATTCTGAAATGCTCCATAGAGTTCTCTGCGGGGTTGTGACTACGAGTGACCACTTTCGTATTACATGTCGTCAGTTGATCTATTGTTGATATGGATACATTCAGTAGTACAGATTTAAAGATGTATCATCCTATCAGATGCTGTATGGCAACAGCAAAAGTTCTTCATTTTCACAAAATGATCCAAATATAAATGAAAAATGTTCTCTGTATGCTAATATATATTTCATTTGGAGGCTTATTTAGAGGAACTTATTTAGAAAATGCAGTGAATTCCTTATTGAGGAGGAAACAACCATGTTATAGTTTGTTTTGATTACTTTCTAATATTTTATAAACACAAATATATACATTGTTAAGTGTTTCACGTCAATTTGTTACACGTCAGGTTGTGACTCAATGTTTTTAAATATGAAGCTGCTGCTTTTGTGATAACAGTTGTAACAGTGCCAGAAATTAGTAGCTCTTTAAATACGGCTCAAATAACGCTCAGTCTAATGGAAAATGTTTGGTCTGAGTCTGGAATATCCAATCATACTGGACTAACCCAAGGCCAAGAATCAAAATTTTCATTCAGTGCATACATCCAACCTTTATGCATATTGGGAGACTTGCTTTCCCTGGAAGCCATTTCTTAGCTCTCCCTCTAACCTCCATCAGTTTCTTCAGACGAGGTTGGACAGCAAAGTGGCCGTTCTCTGAGGAAATCATTGAGACAGCAGACGCACTGGTAAAGTAAACTGGTTGGATCTAATCTGCACAGGTGCCAGGTGGAACGCAGAAGTGAATATGAGACTGCAGAATATTTATTAGAAAGTGAGTTGCAAAGAAGGAGTGAGGAAAAAGTTGCGTTCAAGAGTCCCGACATTAACTTCGGCGACAATGATCAAAGTGAATATCATCTTTGTGATCTTCATGCCTTTGAGGATTTTTCTCCCTCTTGCTTTATTAGGGATATGTTATCAGAGCTTCATGGAAACATGTTTGTGGAGGAGTGTGAGAAGTGTGGCAGGTATGTGCATGCGCACACACACACGCACCAAACACCACCAAACTACATTTGATCATTCTCGTCTTTACAAGCTGCTGTCTGCCACAAACGTTCAGTTTTAGGCCATTTTATTATGTACACCTCTTTGGAAGTGATTAAAAAAAAGCAAATCAAGTGGCTGCAATGCAAGATATAAAGCATGCAGATAAGAGGTTGAATTACTCTTCACCTAATATTAGCATGCACAGTATCAGGTGTGTGCCAGTATGAATCCATAATGGATCCTGCCTTGCATCTAAGGTAAAAGCCTGCGGTGTAATTTTGTGTAATTGTGTGCACCTTAAAACTAACTGCGGGCCTATTTGTTGCCGAGCAGCTGCACCACAGTCTATCCTTTTTCAAACTTAAATAATGCACCCATTCACAGAGCTTATCTCAAAACGATTCTAGGAACATGACAGTGATTTTGTTTTATTCCAGTGACCTGCACTGTGTTTCTATATCTTTGGGATGAAATAGAACAGAGGTATAACTGTATAAACAACTTTGCAGCTACATAATGCCGTTGAGTCCCTGATACACCAGAGAGAGCATTTCTGTGTCTCTAATAAAGTGTCCACTGAGTCTGTATTATCATGTTGTCGTCTGTCAGTTCATAAATTATAAGTAAAAATGGACCTTGGTATGGTGCATGTACGCAGCTTTTTCTTCTGAATTGTAACTAAACTGAAGCTGATCTTGTTGAACCGAGACATAATCTGTAGGACTCTTGGTTTTCCAGGCAGTATGTCCGAGAGAAAGTGATCGGCGTGATGGGGTTGAAACCAACAGGACGTTACTGTGATGTGGTACGATCCAGAGGACTGAGAGCCTGCAGGTAACACATGCTTTCACCACGTTTTTGAAATGACCACTAATGTACTATGATCCATTTATTAGTGTGTTCTTTACTAAAACAGAGGAAAGCTGATAAGCACTATACTGGACTGGGAGGATGCTCTTCCTGACAGAGACCTGAACAAAGCGGAAGATGCCAGCAGGTGAGAGAGACAAATTTGCAGCAGTTTTTTTTTCATTCAGCATCTGTCTTTATAGCGTCGCAAACAGCACATACTCTCATCTATCTTGATTTCCTTTGACACTTTCGTTTCAACTAAATAACACGAGTCACAGTTCAGACGTGCCCTGTGAACTGAAAAATGTGAAATATTTTGTTGGATCTGTTCGCTTGAGCGTTCTGCGTGGCTTTGCTGTCAACATCCTGACATAAGCCCTTATTGGAAAATCGTTTTAGGGTTTGTGTATGCACCAGTCTGCTTTAATGCTTCCATTTGCCTCGTGCGTGTCGTGTTACTTCCATTCAGTCTTTCAGCCTCAAAAAGCTTTTATTGTGGGTTTACAAAGCAGCAAGATTTTCACCTTGATGTACTCAGTGACCCACAATAGATGCATAAGTAACATTTCAATTACAAAGAGGAGATTTGGGGCTCTGACCATTGATCTCCGATGTGCAGCGTGTTTATTAGTTTCAACAAAAAATTGGCAGCTAATTAAAGTTAAGTTGAGTTCATTTCTACTGTAGCTCTATATAGATAGTTATGACGAAGGTTTCAATTTATATTTCAGTGTGGATTTCACCCGTTGAAGCACTACACAGATTTATCGTACGTAATTGGGCAGTACCATGCTTTAATTATATTTCCCCCATAGTAAGTTTGTTTACATTGTTTTAATTTACTTTGTGATGTACAGAGATGTTGGGCTATGCACGTACATGTGAAACTTCTATTTCACCTCGTCTCTTTCATGAATAGGAGACTATTCCCGTGGAGTGTTTATACTGTTTCTTTCATTATGACAGATCGCAGTGAGCTGAGCGTTTGCGGTGGAGATTGCTTTGCTGGATGTGTGTTACTGAAAATCACCAGATAACAGTTTGCGCCTCTCCTCTATGAGCAATACATGTGAGTCACTGCGCTAACCATCTGTTTCTTTAAAACAGGATTGACAAGCAGTCTTTGAAAAATCCAGCAGACCATTTTTACGACACTTATGGCTGTTCTGAAGGCATTTTAAGAATCCTCAAATTTTTCGAACCATTTGGATGAATAAATATTCCGTCTGCTGCAAGATAAGATATGAAAAGATTTGTTACCTGTTTCCCAAATTGTCTCCTTTCTCAATCTGCGTAAGGCGAGCAAAAGTGTAAACATTTTATTATCAAGTACATGTAAGTATATATTGATGTTTCTTTCCAATATTTTATATTTTCATACAAAATAATGCGTTCATATTTTCATATGGACATATGGCATCCTGGATGAGAAATGCAGTCTTTACTTACTAAAAAGCAACAGTCTTCAGATTCTGGGAATACCTTCAGAACAGTTGTAGGTGTTGTTAAACAATCTTCTGGGTTTTTCAAATATCAGCAGGTAATTATTTGTCAGAGAAACAGACTTGGCACTGTGACTCAAATGTAATGACGATACATGAGAGGCACAAAACGTACTTTCTTCGACTTGGTTAATGTTTTCCTCGCTACCAACTTAATGCACAACAGTAGATCCCTCTTAATAACAGGCAAATAAGAACACAAGTGAATATTATGTGTGACGAATTTCTCTACTGTCTGCACCCAGACGAGCGGACTTGGCACTGACGCTCGGCACCTCCTTGCAGATCAAACCCAGTGGAGACCTTCCGCTCCTCACCAAGCGCAAAGGAGGGAAAGTGGCCATTGTCAACCTGCAACCCACAAAACACGTGAGTCTTATTCCTTTATTACTGCCTGGCACATACACATGGGAAATGTTACAATTAACAAACCGTAAACACACTGACAGTGTCAGAGTTCTTAGACGAAAACACTGACAGCACCCAAAAACAAGTTCACAGGTAGTTAAATGTACACCTTGCCATGGATACACATTGCTGCACCTCTATCCTGATTGACTGGTCACCGTGGTAGCAACTTGTCAATTACCATGTAGCCACACACTAAAGCATACTCTATTGTCTATTTTACGCCAAATGGGACCATTATTTAATAATAATAATATTTTAAATTCTGTATCGAAGAATACTTGGGCCTAGCGTCCAAGTCCATAAACTCATTTGAGAAGTGTTTAGAAAAGGTAAATCAAGTGATCAATAAATCAAGTGAGCAGTATGGTCATTAGGTGCATACGAGATGCTGAGGCTGACTTTTGCTGACTTGATAGTCAAATGTGATCTGCAGGCGACTGCAGGGGTAGGGTATAAAAACACAGCTGTCAAGTTAGACACATTCTACCTCCCGTACAATGCGTGAGCTTAGAACAATGTCTTATCTCATGGCCCCAAAAAAGGCAAATGACGCAAAAGGTGGTTCCAACTTGGTACAGCCGAAGACTGCAGCCGCCTTGCTCCCGCAAGGTTTTAATGTCATGTGACATGGTGACATGGTGCAGCACCAGCGAAGTTGGAGAAAATTTCTTACCAACACGCCATAAGCGGATGTAGCGTGACTGCATGAGGGCGGCTGACCCTACGTATGTCATGAAGCTTATGTCAGTAGATTGTAGACACGGCTGGACGAGAATGCTGCATTCACTTTGCTTCCAACAACAACAAAGAAAATCCTGTTCTTATCAAATTAAACAGTCCCTTCAGGTTTCAATGGTAAACCACCACAAGAATGAAAATTGCCAAAAAAAACCACTATATTCTAAGCAGTAATGTTTAAAAAAACATAAATCATGAAGTAACATTTGTATTCAAACAAATGGGAAACATATTAGCAAATTTTAACAAAACTCCCATCACCGTCATGCATCATGGGAATTCTGAGGGACGATCGTAGGCTACTCCCAATGGCATTTCAGAATAAGAGCGTTTTGCCTGCCTGATTGTGCTGACATTTTTAGATTTTGTTGATTTGGTGATTAGTGGTTGTTTTTTGTGCTTCTACCATGATTGGCTACGTAGTTAAATTGTTTCTTTTTTTGTCTTTTTTACTGTGTTTATTGTAGTACGTTAGGGAGTCTGCCCATAGTGTTTTATTTAGAAAATTGACCAGATTCTCTCTGCCGTGTCTGTGTCTGACTTCCTTCCTGGCTCATCTGCTCTGTGCTCCTGTGCTTGACGCGGCTTCTGTCAAAAATACACTGGCTGCCTGTTCTCCGCACAGCGGAGAGAAGAATGACTTCTGGGTAGCACTGCATCACTTCTGTGAGCGCAAGCATTGACTTCAATGGCTGCGATTAGTTCCGGACTTTCGGAGTGACTCCGGGGTCATGTAAACTTGGTATAAATTACTTGGTAGCAGGTGGGCCCAGTGGTGAAGCTCCGCCCACACTGCGGTGAGAGTCTAGCTCTGCCCCCGCAGCATGCCTTATGTTAAGTCCAGCATGCAACAGGTTAAGTCAGCGATGCGAAGCGCGGCATTAAGTGAAATGCACCCATTATCTTAATATTTCTGACTTCTTTTTGCAACCAGCGGAGTCGCCACCTGCTGGCCATGAGAAAGAATGCAAGTTTAAGGCACTTGCTCATTGGCTTCACTTTTCAGACCTGGAGGCTACATCAATTTACTTTATACAACCTATGGGTTCATCATTTCACTGTTGTAATTTTCTGTCTTGTAGGATAAGCATGCGTACCTGCGTATCCATGGTTATGTGGACGAGGTCATGAAACAGCTGATGGAGGAGCTGGGAGTCGACATCCCAAAGTGGGAGGGTCCGACTGTCTGCGAGAGCTCCTTGGCCACCTCTGAGTCCACCACGATGTCAAACCACTGCGTGCAAAGGAAAAGGTGAAAAATGACCTCATTAAGAAGGAGAGGAAAAGAAAAGCACTAACAGACGATCGGAGTGTTAAAGAGGAGACGGCTTCGGCGAAGAGGGAGAGAGCAGACTCCCCAGTGGAGATAAAAGAAGAGAAATAACCTCAGCTATTGTTTCTTACAACACAGACCCATCTAGAAACCAACTTTACAACTGAAGGTGCTCGGTTTGATCAAAGACAGAGGTTCTTTTCATCTTACTTTCTCTGGAGCAAAATCCTCTAGTACTGAAAATCAGTTACAGATATTTTCCACTCCCCTCATAGCCACGATGAATAGCAATGTGAAACTGACTCAAAATTCAGCTCAATTGTTGACTTCCTCATAGAGCAGAATGAGGAAAGTGATTGTGTGCATTACCTGGATGTTTGATTGGTTTTCTTTTTAATTTCTGGTCAACCTACTTGACTAAAAAGTACATTTACCAATGCACAGCCTGCGATGTAAGCGTTCCTCCTGCTATAGTAAGGACATAGTAAGGGAAATCTTTGTGTATTGTCCTAAACTTTACTTTGGGTTTTACTTTTCTTGGAATCTGTAACAGACAAGACAGCAAGATGAGATCTGGAGCACAGGGTTATATATATATATATATAAGGTGCAATTTTGCACCTTATCCAAAGCTTTATTTATAACCCTGTGCTCCAGATCTCATCCCTACAGCATCTGCAAATTTGATTGACTAGCAACCTCATACAGCTAGAGGACATTTAGGTTAAACCTGTTAGTTTTGTTTTTTAAGTGTGTTACTAAACAAACTGTTCTTTTCTCCAGAATTATTTGTACAAAAGATTTCTCTTCCTCTGGCGAGACATATAATTTTGAAGAGGTCAAAACTCCAGCAACACTTGCCGTATACAAAAGAACGTTACTGGTCAAACCTGGTCTGGTATGGTCTAACAATGAAGTTGTTGTGTTTACTAAAAGTGCTGCTAGAGTTTTGATCATAATCGGCATGTTTCTAGTAAAATGTTTTTATCTCAGGAAAAAAGCATTGTACTCTTACAGAAAAAGTCACTTTTTTTTATACATATGTTTTGGTAATAAACACAATAAGTAACAGGTAAAAGCTCCTGTACTGTCAGACAGCTGTGGCCTAGTTACAAATGTGAACCAGCGTTCCAAAGGAAATGAAGGCCACACGAGTTTGTTCATTTGAGACAGTGGTACAGTTCTTTGTGTTTGACATGAAACCTCATTAACATTTCTGAGGTCAACCTTTATACACTTTGTAGTTTTAAAATGTAATTATGCATCGCTGCATTGTGACTGAGCATGATAATAATTTCCCCTAAGGACCAATGTCGATGGGAAGAGGAACAAAGAGCCTCTTACTGTTATTCCATTCACCCCAAATACCAAAAAATCTGAATCCAGCACCAAGGAACGTTAAAATCAAAGGCAACTGGACTTGGTTGAAGATACTTTAAGATGTATTGGCTTTTCAGAAGTGAAGAAGTTAAAGTTGCCCTTGATATTAACCTTCCTTGGATAACTGTGACCTGGATGACAGAGTCCAGCATGCTTCAAGTGTACAATGGATCACAGGTGTTTGTAGATTATAACTGCAGCTTCAGTTCATTACGGTATTTTGTCTCTCCAGATGCACAAGTAACAGATATAACAGCTGCAGCTCAAACACATGCAGAATCCTGCCTGCTCTGTGAGTTGGTCATTACATGGTCCTCATTACTGCTCTTACTGTCTCCATCTACACATAAATTTGTTCTTTATTGTATCTGCTCTGTAGTGCTTGTCTAAACCTAATGGCTAGTGGTTAGGCTGGTGTGTGTTTGAAAGACATACAGATGAGTCCAAGTTTGAAATGCAGAGCAGTTTTTATTTTAATTTCTCTGTAGATTTATGCGTCTGTGTGTGTGGCCTAAGTTCCGCCAAGAGAGAACAACATTATTAGGGGTCCAAGCCCGAGTGGGCTGGGTTCCCAGTAGGTTTGCAATGGCCGATCTACACCAAACTCGGGGACCTTATCTGCCACGCCCTCCCGATGCATTGTGTGATATTTGGTGTCAATTGGCCTCTAGGTGGAGCTATTAATCGTACATCAAGTAATGCTCCCATACACATCCATTCATTTTATATCTCCTTAACTGCAAGTCCCTTTAATTTCAAACTCTGCCCGTTTATTCTCAATGGGCCCCCCGAGCCACCGCAGGGCAACCGAGTCGACTCGCACGCCCTCCACAGGGCGAGGGGGGTGGGAGGCTTGGACCCCACTTACAACTGCTTGCAGTTCTAGTTACCATTGAATCAAGTATCTCAGCACTAATTGTGTGTGACACTGTGGCTTGGGTCACAGAAAAACAAAGCGAGGAAGGTATGAAGGTTTTTTAATGCAAGCTAAAAAAAAAAAATGTTTTCAGAGCATATTTATCGCACGC